GACGGCAGAACAAACGCAAAGGTTGAAATATGGAGATTTGGAGATAGTATTGAAAAATGACCATTTCGAATTCGTTTGCAAGGGTGGTGCAGTGATATCAAATATAAAAGAAATTTTATTTATGAATTCTAAAATTAAAGGTATAACGGATGATATAACATCAATTCCACCAGAAGAACAGAGATATTACGCATTAAATGCATTTCCTAAAGTTTTGAAGATTGGAAGATTTAATTTAAATGAGGAATTCATAGAAGGTTTCCTAAATGACATAATGAAGAAAGCAGATAAGGAATACGTGGATAGTGAGTTAATGAAGAAGGCAAATTTGGTTTATGTTGATGAAAAAGATAATGAAATTAAAGAAAGGGTTGAATGGTATCATGAATGGACATCAAAGATTTTAAAAACTAAAGCCGATACAGGATGGGTTTCAGGATGTTTAGACCTTAAAGCGGATAAAACATATGTTAACGATGAGTTAAATAAGAAAGCAGATAAGGAATATGTGGATAGTGAGTTAAAGAAGAAAGCTAATATATCATTTGTTAATGAAGAAATAAAACAATCAGAGGTCTATTTTACTCCACCATTTTTAAATTTTATGAAATCATCAGATAAAACCTTTGATATAGATTCTTTTGAATGGATATGTTTCGATGGAGTGACCATGTATTTATTTTATACAGCTGGAGTGCTTTATTATTTTAAAACAAATGATTTTCAAAACTATGAATCATTTACTCCATCTGTTTTGAATCCTGATACACGAAAGCCAATCATTAATCCAAGAATTTTATATGTTGAATATAATAACGGTAAATTTATGGGAATGATAACGGTTGAAGATGATTTTTGCCCTTGTTATTCATTCGATTGTATCCAATGGTTCAAATGTAATTTAAATCAAGATGCTAAATTTAAATATTCAAATAATCCTATTAGATGCGTTAATGTTGTAAACAGAAATTCATCAAAAGTGACACCTCAGAAAAGCTAAAATATTGAATTTTTGGAACTTTTGATAGAGCACGTTTTTAAATATTAATTAAAGTAAATGTATATTTTGCAAAGATTCTTTTTAATAAAAAATAAAATTTTGAAGAAGAACACAAAATCTTCTGAAAAATAATATCACATAAACTCATATTATTTTCTAATATATAACTATTTTATATAAAAATCAAATTCAATGATCTTAAAAGCGAAGGATAAACCTCAAAATTTACGAATATAATGAGTGGGAATATAATGCTTATCTATCATAAAACCATATGAAATATCAATTTTTGCTTTACGCCTAATTTTTGACGACAATTAGCAAAAAATGTTAAATGTTAACACTCAGTCCATTTGAATATGAAAAATAAAATTGATATTTCATATGGTTTTATGATAGATAAGCATTATATTCCCACTCATTATATTCGTAAATTTTGAGGTTTATCCTTCGCTTTTAAGATCATTGAATTTGATTTTTATATAAAATAGTTATATATTAGAAAATAATATGAGTTTATGTGATATTATTTTTCAGAAGATTTCATTCTATATGCCTATGAAAAGTACTCTCAAAACTAACTTTTTCCTAATTATAATTAAATCTAGAATATTGTATTATGCTTAGTATTATTTCATTTTTCTCATTCAATTGAGAATTTACAAATGTCAAAAAATTGAGAGCTGTCACTTTTAATGAATTTCTGTTTATTACAGTTAGAAAAGCAATTTTCAAAAATAATACGTTAATATTGATAACAAGACCAGTTTTAAATACTCACCCAAATTCAATATTATATAATAAATTCAATATTCATAATGGATTAAATACAATTCTTGAGATGATTTACCCCATTGGTTCTATTTATACGTCAATGAACTCAACAAATCCAGCAACAGTTCTGGGTTTCGGTACGTGGAAGCAGATTGTAGATAAATTCCTCTATTGTGCGAACTCTTCAAAGCAAACAGGAGGTTCGAAGAAAATTAAAGAAGCAAACTTACCCCCGCACACTCATACAGGAACTACAAACTTTTCTGGCGACCATAGCCACTCATTAAGAGACCACCCATTATACAACTCAGAATATGAAGCTGGCTATGATGTTTTATCTCCAGATTATAACCATTCAGCAAAAAAGACTTTTCGACCAACTGAACCAGGAGGAAATCATGTCCATACTTTCACAACAAATCCAACAGGCTTGGGTAAAGATTATATGCCACCATTTGTGACTGTATTCGCATGGTACCGTGTTTATTGAATGAACTAAATATATTTTATGTCTGTAATTAATTAGGTAATGAAGTAATGGATGAACTGCAGAAATAAATGTTTACGTTAATGTTTACGTTAATGTTTACGTTAATGGTTTCAGGTTAATGTGTTGTGCATGAAAATTCGGTTCACTTCACTTTTGACAAAAGTGACAAGTTTACATGGCAAAAATAGTTTACATGGCAAAAATATATAAGGTATTTTTTAAAAGTAGTTATCTTTATATATAAAAATAAAACTTTTGATATATTTGAGTAAATGATTTATTAATTTATTTATTTATTTTTTTTAAATCAAATCATATAAATATATATATATATAATAGTGAAATAGAACAAGAAATAATTATTGATGATTAAATTGTAGACGAGGATAAAAGTTTAGATAAATTAATAAAATTAGTGTGGAATCAGACAAATTTCGGGTTGTTTGGGAAGGAATTGTTGGCTATGATGTACTGATTCATGATCAGTACATCATAGCCAACAATTCCTTATACAAAGTTCAAAAAACTTGTGTGCAATCAGAACTGATTGCACCCAAGTTTTTGAACTTTCTCGAGGGAATGAAAGGGTAAGAGGTATACATTATGAATATATACCTCTTACCCTTCCATTCCCTCTCTTACAGCGGGAACTTTGTCTGAATGTTAAACTATTCAGACAAAGTTTCCCGCTGTTTGCGAAGGAATTGTTGGCTATGATGTACTGATTCATGATCAGTACATCATAGCCAACAATTCCTTATACAAAGTTCAAAAACTTGGGTGCAATCAGTTCTGATTGCACCCAAGTTTTTGAACTTTCTCGAGGGAATGAAAGGGTAAGAGGTATACATTATGAATATATACCTCTTACCCTTCCATTCCCTCTCTTACAGCGGGAAACTTTGTCTGAATGTTAAACTATTCAGACAAAGTTTCCCGCTGTTTGCGAAGGAATTGTTGGCTATGATGTACTGATTCATGATCAGTACATCATAGCCAACAATTCCTTATACAAAGTTCAAAAACTTGGGTGCAATCAGTTCTGATTGCACCCAAGTTTTTGAACTTTCTCGAGGGAATGAAAGGGTAAGAGGTATACATTATGAATATATATGCCGTAATATAAATCTGATTTTCATTTGGCAGATCCACTTCTTGTCTTTCCATTTTTTTGAATCAATTTATACAAATAAACTTATAAAACACAAAATTATTATTTTATAATATAATTCTTAGATAATACATCCGATATGTAAAGTGTCAAAAATGAATTGAACCGAATTTTCATGCATTACAGTTTCAGGTTAATGTTTATGTTAATGTTTTCAGGTTATTCAATAATTAATTATTTTTGAAGAACTGAAGGGATCACCAGGTCACCAGGTCACCAGGTCATTTCACTTCTCTGAAAAAATGTGACAACATGACATTTTGACAACATCACATGAGGAAGGCAGTTATGACTTATTTTTGAAGAACTGAAGGGGTCACCAGGTCATTTCACTTCTCTGAAAAATGTGACAACATGACATTTTGACAACATCACAGGAGGAAGGCAGTTATGACTTATTTTTGAAGAACTGAAGGGGTCACCAGGTCACCAGGTCACCAGGTCATTTCATTTCTCTGAAAAATGTGACAACATGACATTTTGACAACATCACAGGAGGAAGGCAGTTATGACTTATTTTTGAAGAACTGAAGGGGTCACCAGGTCACCAGGTCACCAGGTCATTTCACTTCTCTGAAAAATGTGACAACATGACATTTTGACAACATTTACGAAAATTTGATGCAGTCCAAAAATAAAGTTAGTTTTAAAATTATTTTTATTTTTTTATTCCTATATAAATGACAGCAACAAACAACAACAGCAACTTTATCGTTTCTGATGAAAAAGTTATTGATTCATTAGCTGAGGAATTAGTTGTGGCAGAAACTAAAACCCTCAACGAAAGAATTGGTGAAAACAAGATTGATTTACATAACTACCTCAAACATGATGGAGGAAGAGGAAGGAAAACTGGTGTGGCTTTATTAGTAAATAAAATTTCAAATTTAACGATTATAGATGTTGATATCAATAAATCATACAATGATGAACTTAAAGAAACAGTTAGAAAAGATATTTTATCAAAACTTTCGGATAAAGATGTTATCGTTAAAACCGCTTCAGGAGGTCTTCACATTTATTGCAACACTAATTTCTTCTATGCAGTTTCGAACAGAATGATTAAATGTTATTCCTGCAATGATTATGATATTGACATAATGACTTCTATGGATGATTCAAAGCGTTCATTAGTGGTTATGGCTGATTCAAGAGTTCGAAAGAATGCAACAGAACCAATCAATACATACTCATTCATTCGTGGAAGTTATGATTCAACATTAACCAGAACAGTGAATGATATATTAAATGATTTGAATATTAAGGTAAGAGTTGAACAGAAGAACGAAGAAATAAAGAATATCATGAATGAAAACAAAGATGTAAACATTGACGATAAACTTGCCCAGAGCATAGTTGATGGCATCTGTGATTTTGAAGTACATAATGATGGTGGAAACATGAATTTAGAAAAAGAAATAACATTGTTCACACTGTTTCAAGCTATTAATTCGTTACCTAATCATTTAATTAATGAAGCGTACGATAACGTTTATAACTTCTGCAGTTTAACAGAAAATGCTAAAAGTAATTTTGAAAAAGCACGTAGTAGATATGCACATTTAATGACTTCTCCATTTGTTTTGGTGAAGATTCTAAAACTTTATCAAAAGGAATATTATGATGAATATGTTTTACCTTTATTACGTAAGCCAAAAATAACATTTGATATCAAACTTGATGACTCGTTTTTGATAACAGATATTAGACGCAAGGCTGAAAATCATCAGTATAAAAACAGTTCTGAAGTAATTGAGGATTTATCACGTGTAATTCGTTTTGTAGATTGTGGAAACAAATATTTCATTCAAAAGGACTATAATATCCACGACAAAATGAATCAAATATCATTCGTTCTTCAATCAAACATGAAAGAGTCACTCAAAATGATTAAATTATTTAAAGAAGAAGGTAAAACCATAACAGCATGGGATGTACTACTAAATCAATTGTCTTCATTAACTGTTAAGGGTGTTTGCTTTAAATCTGATTCCCCAGATGTTTTCTCAACGTTTCAGGGTTATAAATACAACATTCTCGAAAAGCCTGATTACTCAAAAATTGAGATGTTTATGGATTTCATTAAAGAAGCCATTTGTGATAATAATGATGAAGTGTATAAATACCTTCTCGGGTGGATTGCATCAATGATTCAACATCCTGGAATCAAGAATGAAACAGCAATTATTTTGAAAGGACTTCAGGGAACAGGTAAAAACAGATTCACAGACATTATTTCTGAACTCCTCGCCGGTTATTCATGTAAAAACATTACTGAAATAAGTGAGCTAACGGGTAATTTCAACTCAGTAGTTGAAAATAAAATGTTTCTTGTACTTAATGAACTCAAGAATGTAGGTGAAGACAGACTTGCAAACTTCAACGCTTTGAAATCAATTATTACGGATAATGAGATTAGAATTAATGAAAAGAATCAACCCAGAAGAACTGCTCAGAATGTTGCAAACTTCATTTTCGTAACTAACAACGTCTACCCTGTCAAAATTGAAGTTGGAGACAGAAGATACGTAGTTTTAAGAGTTAATGGTAAATTCAAGGGTCAATTTGATTACTTCAAGAATTTAATGGATTCATGCACTAAGGAATTTTATGATAACCTTTTAACATATTTTATGCAATATGACCTTTCATCATTTAATGTACGAATCATACCGATGACTGAAGCCAAACAAGATTTAATCGAGTTATCAACAAATCCTTTAGATGAATGGATATATACACATTATGATGAATTGTGTGCAGGTATGACATGTAAAAATGCTCTATTCTGCAAACCATCAGACATGAAAGACAAGAATTTCCAAATGAGCATTAAGGATAAATGTGAAAGGAAACAAAGAAAAATAGATGGTAAACAGACATGGTATTATGTTTTGAAAGAAGAAATGAAAGGATTATATAAACAGGTTGAACCAAACGATAATGAGGATTCATTTACTGACGATGAAATACCTGTAAATGAAGCTTTATAAAGTATGATTGGAATTTATTTTTGCCTTCCTCCTGTGATGTTGTCAAAATGTCATGTTGTCACATTTTTTCAGAGAAGTTAAATGACCTGGTGACCTGGTGACCCCTTCAGTTCTTCAAAAATAATTAATTATTGAATAACCCATGATGTTGTCAAAATGTCATGTTGTCACAAACTTTAGAACGGCATAATTTAAATTTTTATTTTTATCATAAATGGATACCCCACAAGCTCAAAATTTACCACGAATCATAACAAGGGAGGAAACGATAAAAATGATGCGAGAACTTGCTAAAAATAACAAACCACTAAAACTGAGAAAATGTGGTTATGCAGTAATGATGGAAAGAGAGACGTTGTCGAAGAGGAATAAAAATTAAATTTGGATTGAGTTTAAAAATTCATCTTTATTAAATTCATCTCTTCCAATCAATTTATTTATTCTATTAAATTCTTTTATTTTTGCTTCACTCAGTTTAAGGATTGAACGGTAAGTTTCTAATTTTTCGATTATTTCTTTCCTCTCTTTATCGTTTTCAGTTCCATTAGTTTTATCGTTTTCAACCCCACCGCATTGCGACTTCTTTTTGTAATAGCATATTTTTGATTTAATTCTGTTTAGTTTCTTTTTATATTCATCGTCTGGACTCTTGACTGCTTTGTTGTCACTCATTTCTTACGAAATAAAAAAAATTAAATATTATTTAAATATAATGGAGTAATAAAATAAATCGGAATTTCTATTAATTTATTGTCAACTTCAACTAATGCATTGCCGTTAATATATCTAACAAATTCAGCTATTGTGTCAAATCTTCGTCTTCTTTTTGTCATTGATTTATCAGTTTTTCCATAATCGAGATGAATTAAAACTTTATTTCCTTGTTTAAAATTCATGAGCCCCGAATTAATTTGTTCACGTTTAACATCATTTAACTTTTCCATTTGCTTTCTAATATATTCCCATTCTTTTGAAATATCATTTTTCATTTCCACCGGTTTCATGTTTATAGTTCTATGCCATGTATTATTGTAATAATATACTACTGCTGTATGATGGAGTCATGATTTCCATCCCAGTATATCTGACCGTTAACCCCTAACGCATCTCTAAGAGTTCTCATTACCGCATCAACTATTTTATTATGAAACGTATATGGAGAGGATGAGAAGAAAAATTAATTTGTGGGAAATAATGAGTCATAGCTGCCTGAAATCCTTTATCACCATCACCCCTGATATTATCTACTCTTTCATGATCTAGTAAGTATTGAATAGCTCTTCTTGTTTCCTGTTCTGTTTTCCCTTTCACCGGAATGCAATATAAATATCTAGTGTTAATGTTAATGGCAAATAAATAAGTAACGTTTCCTTTTGAATATTCCAGATGATCGATTTCGTATGAATATGGATATGGAGCAAATGAAGGTCGACTAAATTTTTCCTTTAACGGTTGAATTTTTGGGTCAATTGGTTTATTTAATATCTTGAAATCCTTTTTAAAATCTTTTTGCTTCTTTAATGTTTGAAATGGATATAATAAAGTGAATGATGAAGGATTAACTGAAGGAGGAGGCGGTACTGTCGTTGGAGGTTTTGGTGTTGCAAGTGGTTTAATTTTATCTGCTTTGATTTTGGATTTCATTCCTTCCTTCATTAATTCTGGATGTATTCTATTCATTTGTTTTAAATATGCTGTATATAAAGGTTTGATATACTTTCCCGCTTCGAGTTTATGTTGAAGGATGAATTCCAAAAGTTGATCTTCATTTAAAAGTCGGGCTGAATATGGTTTAACTAATGAATCATAAATTAAAGCTTGTGCTTCATTTATGGTCTGAAGGACCTGGGTGTTTTGTTCCTTTTGTTTTTGCGGCTCAGGATTATATAATTTATATAATTCATCAATATCTTCTTCTGTTAATACTTTATTTTTGAAATCTTTCAACTGTTTAAGTTGTGATTTAGTTTTTCCCTTTGAATATTCATTATTTTTAATTTTGTCTTTAATTTCAGAAATTATTTTATTATGATATTTCAAAATTTCATTTTTATAATATGGATAATAATATTCCATATCATCACCCGTTATATTTTTATTATGTTTTTGGAGATATGATTTTAATTCATAATAACTAAGAAAATTTTGATTAAGTACTAAATCACCAATTAAATTTTTTAAATCTACGCTATTCATTTATATAAAAATAAAATAAATGTTTAAGGGTGCCCACCTCTTTGAATCATAGTATCAAAACCATCATTAACGGTTCCTTCTTCTAAAACGGTATCAAATGGTGGCGGTTGTTGTTGCTGTTGATGCTGTGATGGGATTTAAAAAATTCGTTGTGGTTCCTTTTGTCTCTTCTGTGGCATTTCATTAAAAATAAATTTAAATTCTTTAAATAAATGGCATACAACATCCATTTTCACAACATACAGCCTTAGTGTGTGCTCCTGTTAATGCAGTCTTACCAATTGTTAAGCGAGTCATTGACCCGTTTTTAAGTTGTAAATTAATATTCTGACCATCAAATATCACTTTATCATTTATTATATCCAAATAATTTTTAGGTGTTAATTGTTTATTTTGTCGTAAACTAACACCTTTCATTTTTTGTGCAATCTTTTTAAAATCACTTCCATCAATTGAACCGTTGAATGATGTATAACACTTAGGACATAAAGCAACCATGTTATCACCTTGTTTCTCAATTGCTAAACCCAATAACTTCTTCTCATGTGCTTTTTCTTCAGCTTTATTCTTTAATTTAGGTTTAAATTTCTCATCAAAACAGAAGAAATCAAATGGTGCGAATTTGAAAATGTTTTTATCATAAAATTGTTTATCGTAACAATTGCTTGAAATGCTTGAGTGTTAGGAAGATTTGGGTCGCCAGCGATTGCCCAATAAGATGAATCAGTATCACCTTCAATGAAATGAAAACGATTAACATTCATGCATTTATACATAAAATCATAAATGAAAACCAAATACCAGTATTTAGCATTATCTAAAGTGAAGAATGCCTCTTGTAAACATGTATCACATCTATAAAATCTATCTTTAGCATCACTTGATATGTATCCTCTCCTATTTCTCTTATGTTTTTAAACTTATTTGACATACATGCAACGCGTGCTTCTGTGCATTCATTATTTTAGTCTTTGCGTAATTTTGTGTATTCATTGCATCGTAACCATATGATCCATTAAGTGAAATCTTGCAAAATAAACTTTTTCCTTTATTTCCTTCTAATTCAGCCTTTTGTCTTTCGTTCATAAATTCGTTCGCAAATTCATTAAAACAAGTGTTTTTCGTAAATGTTAAAATTGATTGAATGTCATCAATGATAAAATGAAATCTGTCTATTAGATACCAAAGATAATAAGAAGAAAATGGTTGATATTGGTTGTGTGTTGATGCTAACTGAGTTAATTTTCTCTGTTTCTGGTCAACTGGTAGATTGTTTGATTTCATGTAATTATACATAAAACTGCCAATTGTTTTTTCATCTGTGATAATATCTAAGTTTCTTATTATCGGTAAAAAGTTTATGTAATCATTAATGTATTTTTCATCAATGTGACCCTTTACTTCAGCCACGAATAAAGTATTTTTCTTCTTAATATTCCCAGTGCTTTTGCTTTCTTTGTTGCTGTATCACAAATGATAACACCATTCAATCTTCCCGGCATATACATTTTATGGTCAGTATATTGAATGAAATCATGAGGATTAGATGAAAATGATGAAGGATATAATGAATTAAAGTCAACACCAACGAAATGAGTCATAATGTTGGTGGTGTCCTCATTTGATACAGTTTTAGTTTCTGGATTATATGAAAGTTTATTAATGTGCGTGATTCCTTTAAGATTAACACGATGTTGAACATTTGATAGACCACCAGTAATTCCATTACGGAGAATGTGATAAGCTTCAACTGAATCTAAAGTCATTGGTAAATTATTTTTTAATGCATAATTTCTTAAATTGATTCTTAAACGTTGAACATCTTCATCTTTATTTGATTTTACGACATTGCAATAACAACACATTAACTGACAATTTTCTTTGGTATGTGGTTTTTCATTATCGATTCTATCCAATGTTGGTTTATTTACATATGTAAACGCTTTACCACACATTTTGCATTTAGATGAAAGGATTAAATCGTGATAGTATTGATAGTCATCCATTGAAACATTGTTTTTGGTATCTCTTTTCGCCTTTTCATCTTGTTTCTTATATGATTCAATTTTATATTTCCAATACTTTTTTGTTAATTCAAAACTTGATTCCACATTTTCTTCTTCTGGATATGTTTCGTTAGGATTGAAGTTCTTATATGCTAACGCGTAACGAATCATTGATGCATTCGATGATAAAGAAAGATTATGAAGCATGTCAATTTTATAAACAAATGTTTCTTCGATAATTTTATCAATTGGGTCAATCATAATTTCAACGTCTTTATTGCAATAATGAATAAAATATTCTAATCTATTCTCAAAATTTTTAGCATCATTGAGATATATTTGATAATCTGAATCGGATATTGTTTCTTGTGTTAATGCTGAATAAAATGAATCTTGAGTGAATGGTTCCTTTTTATATAATTCATCTTCGTAATTCTCCCATGTGATGAATTGATAAGGGAAAAAGGATTTAACACGTGATTTATTGTTTCCGAAATCTTGAGTGAATTGGTCTAATGTTCCACCCGCTATATAATTTCTGATGTCAATAAATCTTAATTCATATGGACAGTTTGTTTTCTTTACTATGACTTGCTTAAATTGAGAAGAAGAACCCAGCATTGATTTTATTTTCCATTTTGCAGTATTTAAATCACGAAGAATTAAATTTAAATCAAACTTTCCCGAATTAAAACCAATGATATTCACTTTATTAAATTCTTCATCTAAAAGCTCTTTCATTGCTTCCTTCTGTTTTTCATTTAATGTATTCATTAATTCTTCATATTGTTCAATATT